ACCCGGCGTACTCAGCGTACTCGGCGTATGGCGCCGGGTCCGTTCGTATGGAGCCCCTCCGGCGTACGGTCTTGACCGCAGCCTTCCGTCCCGACCGAGGCTTGGGTGCCTGCTCCGAATGCCCTCGTCGACGACTGTGACCGGCCCTCGCTTCGAAGAGCTGGGTCAAGGGGGGACTGCGAGTCAGCAACCCCCTGCGGGTCAAAGTACCGCTTAAGACGTCCGACATAGAACGTCGGGTGCGTCGTCATTGACTTTGGAAGGTCGATGGTGTACGACGCACCATGTCTGGCCAGGACTGCAAAAGGTCCGATGAAGCGGTGCTTCAGTTTGTTGCTGCCGACAGAGCTAACAGTGTCTAGAGGTAGGTTCCTCGTGTCTAGCAACACTAAGTCCCCAACCTCAAATATACTTAAGTTTCCTCTTCCTTGTTTGTCTGAGTACTCCTTTTGTTTATCTTGGGCCGCTGCCATGGCATCGCGGACCCTGCTGACAATGTTCAGCTTGGTATCCATAAAGGATTTCACCTGTTTCCGCAGCGAAACTGGTCTCACATCCGAGACCTGGGAGGAAAGGGCTTTCCGAGCCTCTCCCCCACTTATGATAGAGGTGTCAGTGTCTCCTCGAAGAGTGAGAGGCACTCTGGGGTGGCGCAAGCCGTTCAAGTAGAACGGCGTGAACCCCGTGGACGCGTGCACTGCGTTGTTGAGCGCAAACTCAACAACTGGGAGCTGCGTCGACCACGTACGTGGTGCTGCCGCGCACACACTGCGCAGCGTGTCCTCGAGCACTCGATTGACGCGCTCTGTTTGGCCGTCTGTCTGCGGATGATCCGTAGTGGACATCTGCAGACGAGTTCCCAGTAAAGGGAACAGCTTTTTCCAAAACGCAGCAGTGAACCGCGGGTCTCGATCCGAGACAATCGTCTCTGGGAGACCGTGATAGCGGAACACGCCATCGACGAACAACCTTGCGGTTTGTTCGCCCGTAACAGTGACGGGAACTGGAGCAAGATGTACCATCTTGCTCAGCCGACACACGAACACCAAAAATTCCGGTGTTGCCGTGTCCGTCGGCGGGAAGCCCAAAGATGAAGTCAAGACTCATCGACTTCCAACAATCAGCCGGTACGGGCAGGCTCTGTAGTGGAGCCGAAGAGTGCCCTGCGGGTTTGACCCGCTAACATGTTTCTTTATGTTCTGACGTACCGGGCGACCCACTTGTACATGTGGGTCCACCAGAAGGACTGAGAGACCGACAGAAAGGTCTTCTCGCGGCCCAAGTGGCCGCTGGAGGGGCGCGTCATGCGCCTCCGCGAGGATGTCGAACTTCAGATCCTCGTCGTTGGGTACGACCACCCGTGGAGGATCAGTGGGCTCCACCCGATAATAGAGGAGGCTCTCCTTCAACTCATATCGGTGGAGCCGTGAGCGCTGTCGCGACGAGAGCCAGTCGGACTTCGCGCTCGTTCCGGCCTTAAGGAACTTGACGATAGGCGCGACAGCCTCATCGTCCCGATACGCCATGCGTATCCGATCATATAGATCCGTTGTCACCCGCGTGATGTGGGCCAACTCATAGTCGGGACGCCGAGAGAGGGCGTCCGCAAGCACGTTGAGCTTGCCCGGCTAGAATTCGACGCGGAAGTTGTATTCCGCGAAGAAGGACAGCCAGCTCGCCATCCTTTGGGAGAGGTGAGGCGAGTTAGTCGCCGTCCTCAAGGACGCGTGGTCTGTGTAGATCACAAAGGGCCTAGAGCCCAGAAGGTGAACACGGAACTTCACAAGGGCATATTTCATTGCCAGGAGCTCCTTGTCGTAGACAGGGTAGTTCCGCTCGGCGGCTTTGAGCTGCCTGGACGGGAACGAGATGACTTGTTCCTGTCCAGCCGTGTCGGCCTGCAGCAATGCACATCCGATGGCGTAATCGGAGGCATCGCAGACGACGCTAAACGGCTTCGTCTCGTCCGGCAGGGCCAGGACAGGGGGCTCTTGGAGACTGGCCTTAATGCTGTCAA